GTGTGTGTGTGTGTGTGTGTGTGTATGTGTGTGTGTTGGTGCTGGTGTTGGATGAAGAAGATAACAAAACACGTTACAAAAAGAGGCCCAGAACGAGCCCTGCATTCAGAAACTAGAACTTCAGTCGGTAATAAGGAACTGGTAAAGCATTCAGAGCAGGAAGTGGGATTGTGCAGGAGTCCTGCCGCTCCAAGTGTTGTCTGAGGACCAGCGCATCAGCGTCAGTATCTCCTCTATGGAGAATACAGGCTCCACCTCTACTCTAGAGAAACAGCCTCTGCTTTTTAATTGAGCCCAGAAGTGAGTGTCCCCAGAGGTCCTTGAGAAGGACAGACTAGAGCTCTGGGTGTGAGGAGGCTGCTGGTGTGCCACACAGTGCAAAATAAAAAGCACACAGAGAAACAATATAACAACAGTATTCTATACGTGTTTATCATTCTCTGGTAAACACAGTTAATACAGTTACAGACAACATATTGGGTATATTTTATGAATGTTCTAAACTCCAAACTTGGCATCATCACTTATACATACAATAGACACCTCAGATGTAAGATGTGTAAACATTTAGCCATCTTCCCATCTTGCTTTCCCTCGGGGCATATGCATTAAAGGAAGCAGAACAGTAATGTAAAGTGGAAGCCATCCAGGCGGTATGTCTGGCAGCTTAAAACGAGGCAGAGAGGTTTCCACAGAGGGCAGACAGAGGGAATGACTGAAGTGACTGAGAGAGCGTGCCACTAAGCATTTACATCACAGTGATGCCGCAGTTCACCAACACTTCTTTTTGTGAACAATGTGACTTGGTGAACAGAAGCATTTGGCAATATTTTCCTTCTCTTTGCGATCTCCACATCTGGTGACATTAAGCCTTATGGGGAAATTTGATTTGGTTCACAACCAATTTGATTGGTGACCAAAACTGAGGCATCAACTAAGCTAAAGAACTGCGTTACCACTGTACTTGACTGAGAAAGTAACTAAATATCATGGAAATAACAGAATCTGTGTGCTCACTATCTAAAGTCATGTATAAGTATGTAAATGGCAAAGACTAAAAATAATATTGAAGGGAACCCAGATGCACAGAAATGCACAGTCCTGAGAATCAACAGATGGTGTTATATTAAATTAAAAAGCTTCAGCACAGCAAAAGAAACACCCAGCAGAATGAAACGATAGCATACAGACTGGGGAAAATTTTTTGCCAGTGATTTCTCAGACAGACAATTCGTATCTAGAATATGTAAAACACTCAAAAAAATTAGACCCCCCCCCAAATAAAACACTATCGAAAAACAGGCAAGCAAAATGAATGGCCACTTCACAGAGGTGCAAATGGCCAATAAACAGTGAAGAAATGCTCAACATCTCCAGCCATCAGAGAAATGCAAATTAGAGATTCCATCTTACCACAGAAAGAATGATCATCAATCAGTCAAATAACAAATACTGCACAGTCTGCAAGGGGAAGAGAAATCCTTCTACACTGTTGGTGGGAATTTGAAATACTACAAACACTATCAAAATTAGTATGGAGATTCCTAAGTCCTAAAACTGGGAAGTTCATTTGACCTAGCTATTCTCCTTCTACATATCTTCCTGAAGAGTTAAAAACATCACATTATAGCTGGGGATTTAGCTCAGCGGCAAAGCGTCTGCCTGGCAAGCACAAGGTCATGAGTTCGGTTCCCGGTACTGGGAGAAAAACATCACATTATAGTGACACATACCCATGTTTATAGTAGCACAACTCAGAATAGTTAAATCTTGGAAGTGGCCCATATGTTCGTTAGCAGACAAATGATGAAAGAAAATGTGCCATTTACACAGAATGGAGGACTGCTTTGCCATAAAGATAAACTTGAGTCATTTGTAGGAAAATGCATTCATCTTGAGATCATAATGTTAAGTGAAATAAATCAGACACTCAGGCTTAAATATCACATGGTTTCTCTTACATGAGAACCCAGAGTTAAAATAAAGAGCACAATAAGAGACAGATCAGAGGAAAAAGGGAGATTGTTCATTCTCAGAGGATGAGGAGATCCAGAGATGGAGGATGGGAAGGAGAGAAGAAATAGGGATGAAAAAAAGAGGATTGCGATGTGTTGTGTGCATGTATGAACCCCACACAGGATGTAAATGTGTACTGCAAACATGTACATAAAAGAAAAAAGGAAGGGGATCAAGAGGTGAGTCAAGGTAGGGGGAAGGGAAAAGGGATGAAAAACTAAAGGTGTGTTATGCACATGTACCAATTCCCTACACGGAATATAAACATGTACTCTACCCAAGTGTTAAAAAACTAAAATTAAAAAAAAAATAACATGGTGGTAGAAATATTATGAACTCATGGGCTTTTATGTGTACATGCTGGCAGAAGCAGCAACACTTACAGAGGCATAATTCTTTGTGGAATATATTTCTGTGGAGACATAGTTCATGGATAGAAGAGGGGGTAAGCACATGTGAATCCCTGAGTTCCTGAGTTGAACCACAAAAACAAACAACAAAAAGAAAAAAGGAAGCAGGATGGGTGAAAGGGGAAAGAACAGTAGGGAAAAGGGAAAAATGCAGGTCAGTTACACTATTAGGATCTCTTAGATCATTACAAAAGAAGGTTTGTGCTAATATCAATTGGAGAAATTTTTATGTACATATCTTGGACCCTGAGCAACTACTTTAAAGATAACAACAGGTAATGTATTAACTATTGTTATTCTATTATTTTGTTTTGAAATTTTATCTTTTTTCCGTAAAATTTAAAAACACACACACACACACACACACACACACACACACACACACACACACACAGATTTTCTAGGTCCGCCTACTAAGGGTCCAGAAGCAGTTGTATTCCAGCAGCAGTAGCAGGGAGCACACCGAGCAACCAGATCTTGGTTTCTGAATTCTGTGCTAATGATATCAGAAGAACCAGGGCTCCTGCAGAGATGCTGACGCAGGAAAATGTAAGACGAGCCTGCAACATCACAGTGATTATAAAGTAAAGAAACGCTGGAGGAATATCAGAGAGATGTCAAAGAATGCAAAAGCCACATTGACCACTGACCAAGGCAAGATTAATCCAATCATTAAAAGAGTAATGAATAACAAACTACAGCCCACTGCACAGAATGGAATGAATAGGGAGACTGAAAAACACCCACTGTCCATGGACTGTCAACTGTCACGTGTTCACCTCAGGGCAGGAGCTATTAGCATATGCTAACACTTGTGGGAAGGATTTGATGAAGACAATGTTGAATTAATAGCCTATTATGTCGCTCATAAAGTGCTAATCCATTCCATTTGGGATAAAAATACATCAGAGCAAAGAAACCAGGGAACACTTACAGGAGCAGAGGATCAAGGTTCACACTGCCAGTGTGAGCAGCCCCAGTGTATTGCAGAAGAACAGCAGTGTCTCACGGCCCGAATCTGGCCATGAATCTCTGGGGTGGTCACAGGCAGGGACTCATGAAATGTGCTAAATCTCCAGGGACTTGAAGGACAGCATGAGAATGGGGAACTGTTTCAGGGTAGGAAAAACCAAAAAGACGGTGATGACAACAATAGCAAAACTTCTTTCCAGAAAGGATCCAAGGAAAAGGAGACAGAAATACCGCAGTGAGGGCACTGGTGACTTCGGCCTGCAGCCTGCAGTCTGGATGGTGGGGATGCCCTGAAGCAGTGCACTGCACCCCTGGGAGGGTGGAAAGTGGCCCGCACTTGCTTCTTGGAGTCACTTTCAGCAGTATTCAGGGATGATGAGGCAGGGAGGGAACAGGCACTGGGATCAGAGCGGAGAAGACACAGCAAATGGAATGAAAAGTAGTAACTGGAGAATCTAGGTAAGAGGATGAGACTTTCTTTGTACTATTTATTCCTGAAGCTTTTCTGACAATTTCAACTTATTTTCTATTAGTTTTAAGGAAGATATACAAAATTTAATATTTGAAATTTTTCCTATAAATGTTACTGCAACAGACTTATTTCTTAATTAATGGCAATGCCATTTCTTTTGCTTTATTCTTCTATTTATTCCAGTTCCAAGTCTTAGAAATCACTGCCTCAAGCATCACACCTCAAGTCCCATTCCTGAGCTGGCTCTGTCCTGCTGGCTCTGTCCTCAGAAACATCTGGAACCTGCTCCACCTCAGCCCCTCACCCTGACACTCCTAGTCAAGGCACCACCGCACCTCAACAGCCTCCTTCCTGGCCCTCGCACTCACCACAGCTACCCATGCTCTGCTCTAGAACCCTGAAAATACTTCCTACATCCCCTGGGGGCAGTAAAGGCCACACTTCTCACAGTGGTCTGTGAGGCTTCTGTAATCTGACACCAAAGAATCCAAGGCACATTCTCTTCTATATGTGATGGCTGAACTGTGTCCTCCCCAAAACACCTGTTGAAGAGCTGACTCCCACTAGGTCAGGACTTAAAGAGTTTTCAAAAAGGTAATTCAGATTACATGAGGTCACAGTGTCCCCTTAATAAGAAGAGATCTCTCTCTCTCTCTCTCTCTCTCTCTCTCTCTCACACACACACACACACACACACACACACACACACACACACACACACGATGGCCATCTACAAGCCAATAACAGGGGACTAGAAGAAATAACCCTGAAAATACTTGGATCTCAGACTTCCAGCCTCTAGAGCTGGAAGAAAATTAATCATTATTTAAGCCACGCAGTCTGTGGCATTTTGTTAGGACAGCACCCTAGCAATCTCCACTCCACTTCATCACTAGATTCGGTCCCTTTGGCCTCTGCAGTGTCCCACAGAGCAGGCCTACTTGGCCCCGGGCCACTGCCCTTCCAAACAGAGCTCTCTCCTGCCAGATCCAGCCTGGTCTCTCCCACCTTCTCACCTCTCACACAGCCTAGGCTCAAGGTCTTCCCTTGCCCTCCTGCTGTTTACAACCGCCCCACCCGCAACACGGCCATCCTTCCACGTGCTCCTGCTGTTTCTCTTGACAGCACTCCTGTGTTGATGGCTTCCCTCTAAGGAAACAGGCAACTGTGCTAGTCCATCCTGAGTGACCCGCATCAGGGGTACTGGGTACACATACTCGCTCAGATATTAAACAAATGAGAAGAGGATTCTGACAGCATTTACCCTTTCAGGAGTAAGAGCACTGCATGTGCTGTGCTAGAGTCTAAACCATTAGTGGGCTCGTCCAGGAACAAGATGGAAGGGTCAGTGATCAGCTCCATGGCGATACTAGTCTTTTTCCTTTCTGCTCCAGACAGACCACCAACCTAAAATGAAATACTTTTATCAGCAAAAATGATCATGGCCACTGTCCTCTGGCGAACTAACCTATACCAGCAGTATAAGACACATTGTATCTCATTGTCTTCATTATTCTGAACAGCAACTAAATGGACAGATGGAAGAAGAAAAAAGGTTTCTCTTACCATAATGATAAACTGACCCAGTTTAGAATTCCTAAGTGGCTAGATCTGATATGAATCCCAGGCTCTTAACAGTTCCTTACACACACTTTTTTCAGTAGTCCAGATTAAATCCAGGCCGTCACACTGAGCCATACCCCAGCCCTTCTTTACCTTTTATTTGGAGGCAAGGTCTCACTAAGTCACTAAATTGCCTAGGCTGGGTTCAAACTTGAGATCTTCCTACCTCAGCCTCCCAGAGTGCTGGGATTACAGCCCCTCTCCAAGGGGTACATGACCAAAGGAGACAGAATAAAACACTGATTGGCATAGGTAGGAAACACCCATTCTTCCTCACACATGCCTGTCGACCTCAGAGAGAAAATGCTTCCATTTTTAATAAAATATAAGAATTGAAATGATTTCAACCAATTGAGATTGGGAGATTACAGAAAGCTAAATTTTAAAGAGTCTGTAATTTAAGAAGTAACTGCCTTTGCATGCTTGTCCTGAAAATCCAAGCAAATAACATCTGCTCAGCGAAGCTCCTATGCCAGTGCATCAACTGTAAAAGGCACTCGTTTCTCTCTCCTTCTCCTCCTCACCCCACAGAAGGGAGCAATTCTGCTCTCTCCCTGTTACTCTGCCCGCAGTGGTGTCACTAAAACCTGAAAGCGTCTGGCTAGTGAGAATCTGGCAATGAATGTTGGCAGGAAGAAGCAAGGGGCGGAGAGGAGCAAAGGGGCTGAGAGGCAAGACAGCCAAAACAAAGGCATCTGAGCACTACACAAATTAGGATTCATGATATGACTGAGGATAATTTTGGAAGCCAAATTATAGCAAAGTGAAACATGACCAAGAATCTTTGGATTCAAATTATTTACCAACTCCAGAAAAATACTTCAAAAAAATGAAGGGAATGAACTCCCCTGGAGGAAGAGAGGGAGAAGAACAGCTACAAATGAGAAGAGAAAGGAAGAAAAGCTGGTACCAAGGCAAAGAATGAGTGAGGATCCGCTAAACGGTGGAGCACGAGCAGGAGGAGCACTTTACCATCCCACCCCCATCCAGCCACTGGTGAAACTGGCTTTGCATCTCAATGCCCACTTTCATATGGTATAACCAGTCACTTTTCTCAGGGTTATATTTTGGCCACCTCCAGTTATAGGAAACTTTTGATTAGGGGTCTATTATGACACAAGGAAGGTCTTTTTCCCTGGTGTGGTTAATCTTCATTGCCATTTAGCCTGGATTGAGAAAAACTAGCAAAGCACAGTTCTGAGTGTGTCTATAAGGGTATTTCTGCAAGACCTGGCATGTTGGTAAATGAGCTCAGGGGAAAGACCTGCCCTGAGTGTAGGCGGCACTGCCCTGAGTGGACAGCCAGCCTGGATGAAACAAAGGTGGAGGGAGGAAACCCACCACTGCAGGCTCTTGCACTCCCTCTTCCTGTCCTCTATGAGCTTTGCCACAGGACCAAAGCAACGGAGCAGCTGACCGAGGACTGAACCAAACTATGAGCCAAAATAAATCTTTCCTCTTCAAATAGTTTTTGTCAGAATTTTGTCACAGCAAGGAAACTTGAACACACCCCACTATGATCCTTTCCAGTTGAATTCACACATTACCTTGGAATCTGCAACTTTATTCAGATGTAAGTCTTCAATGACCTTGTTAATCTTCCCCGTTTTTTCAAGATTTGTCATGGTCATTGGAAGCCGAAAAGCTGCTGAGAACTGTAAATTTTCTCTCACTGTCAGTGTGTTCATCATGACATGATCCTTATGAAAAAATGGTATTTGAATGAGACATAGAGTCCTTTTTAAGAGCATTAGAGCATATATAATTTAAACTGTATAGGTAATTAAAATGCAAAACTAGCATATCCAAGGTAAAGGTCTATCTAATTGTGAACTTTTAGTTCCACAAGTTGCAATGACTATATACAGATAGCCACAGCACTGTGAAGTCACTTCCATCCCCCAGCTGCACACTCAGAGAGAGCACAAATAATTACGAGGACCATAATTAGACATCTCCAGGCTGATTATACAAGGATTTGCCAAAGATGTCTTTAAGGGAAGGACAAAGGTAAAGGAATGGCACAAAAGGACAACAGTGGTCCCTTTTAGAAATAATACTGCAGCCAAAATTGACGACACTGCCCTGTAGGGGTCATATTCCAGATACTTCCTGCTTTTGCATTTAATGTCACCCCCAGCGCAATGGCAGATGATGGAATGCCAATGCAAAGAAAGCTGGTTCTGTGAGCACGCCATACCGCCCTCTGGAAGCACACTAAACAGACTGCATGCCAGGGCACTTACCCACACAGACACAGGGAATACCAAAGGGTGAACCCACTGACACTTACTTGTACCACATAACCCGAATGACACTTGAAATCAGCAGGATGAGGCGCTCCATTTATCAAAACATCTCCAGACAATCCATGCGGATCTTTCCTTGCTGATAAGACATCTAATAATCTAAAAAGGAAATAAATATGGGATTTCTTTCCCTACAATAAGGGCTGTGTCCCAGTTACCATGAATATAAATTCTGCTCAAGTTAGAAAATGAACTAGTAATGACATTCTATGGCTTATCTAAAATTATATATATAATTTTAATATAATTATAATTATTTATATAATATATAATTAATTAATACATTTAGGGTGGAAAAAATGAGCTACACTTCCTGCATCAGCTTCTTGTTGCTCAGCAATGGTTAGGATTGGTTAGCTGCCCAATTGCTGTTAATTAGTGACTAGATTTATACATGTTGATGTGGCCTTTCTTCACCCAATCCTACCTTCTCATAGTTCAACTTCCATGCCCACATCTAAAGTCAAGGTACACCCTATATATAATGTTATATATTATAACATTAATAATATCATTATAACAATATGTAATTATATATAATATATAATTATATTGAATTATATATATAATTATATATATTGAATATGGAATGAATATGGAAAATATATTAAAATATATGAACATGGAAAAACATATTTCATAAGATTAAGGACCGGAATTCAATATATATAATTATATATAATATCATATTAATATATGTTATATTCTATTAATAATAATTAATATATAATTAATATATCAGAATATATTTATTATAATATATAATGTATATAATTATATACATTACATATAATTTTATATTATAAAAAATTCTATTATAGATAATATACTTTTTAT